CGAAACGAGCTGGTCACATGACGGTGTGGCGCGGTGCGGGGCGCAGTGCTTCCAAACCTCGACAAAGACGCAGGGAACACTATACCCACAAAAAATTCAAAACCAATTTTTTTATAAACTTAGGGGGTACAAATTTTTAAAACACATAAAAACAAATTTTCAGTGAAATAAAGATTATTTGTTAATTAAAATTAATGGCTAACGGAGTTTCTCCTAACCAGGTATTTTCAACAGCGGGGTGAGGGTTAGGGCAAGGACGAGAAAGGAAAAATTGCGCGTGGACAGATTGTTAGAGTACTGCTCCGGTATTGCTCTAAGAAACCACGGAAAACTACCGATCAGAGCAGCCGGCCGCTAAAATTCTTTTCCAGACAGCGACTGAATTCGACCTAGCTATCTAGTTAGCGTCGAAAATCCTGTTCCCGTCGGGACTCGTGCTAGAACCTCCCAGTCAGAGGCACTGCAATGACATCAGATGATGCCCTGATCCACATCTCCCGGTACTGGTTGGATAAATACGCGCCATCCGACGTGCAGGTCGGCGCCGGAACTCACCATCCAGCGAGAAAAGATCTCCACCTCCCGCGGTACAAATATGCACTACACTTATGGGATAAATAACAGCTAAGTTCATTCGACCCGTAAGCACAAAATAATCAATCCCGGAAACACGAAGTAGGCTCCAGAAACACAAAATAGGTCAAACTAATAATCAATCAACCTCAATGGTTTGCCCATCCGTGCCCATGGGACCGTTCGGGCTCAGTGCGCGGCGCGTCACTAAACCTCAGAAAAGAGGTTGGGCATGGAGTAGGTCTAATTTCTTGAAAGAACTGTTTAAAAGCTTGACTTCAACCTCACTGATGACCAGGCGTACCCATGGGACCATTTGGGCCCAGAGCGCGGCGCGCCATGAAAGATCAGTAAAGAGCTTGGTCATGGAGTAGGTATAATTCCTTTAAAGAACGGTTTAAAAGCATAACCTCAACCTCACTGGTGTGCCCACCCGTGCCCATGGATCCGTTCGGGCCCAGTGCGCGGCGCGTCATGAAACATCACTAAAGAGGTTGGTCATGGAGTAGGTCTGATTCCTTGAAAGATCTGTTTAAAAGCAAAACCTCAACCTGACTGGTGTGCCCACCCATGCCCATGGGCCCAGTGCGCTGCGCGTCGTGGCGCCACGCGACGCGGTGACCCCGCTCGCGCGGATATTTACGTCGTGGGGGGAGGGCAGGGGTGCCGAGGGCGGGAGGGCAGCAAGCGTCTCGTCGGCGAGCGCATCCATCACGCGCTGATGGTACGGCCGACGAGTAACACGTTCGATACGCAAACGTATTTGCATAGGAAAGCGTGCGGCAGGCCGCGATGTATCGCTGTCTCACGCGTTCTCGATAATTTCCGAACGCGGACGGCCTGGGCGACGTCCCCGCCCAGACGGGATAGGCGAAGGCAGACCTCCGCGATGGTGTGGCGTTGCTTGTGCCGGCGCGTTTCCACGTCGGGACACGCCCCCCCCCCCGCCCCCGCCCCCCCCCCCCCGATGGGCCGCGCTCCGCGTGGAACCAGGGTCGCGGTTTCGATCAGGGCCTCTTCCGGACAGGCACTTCTTTTGCCTCTAAAATAGGACCGGAGAGAAAGAAAAGAAGGAAGGATGAGGAAAAAGTAAAGCCATTTTGGTTCCAGTTTTGTTTAACTTACTAAAACATTGAAAAAGGTGGGCAATTTTATCATTGTTATTATTCAATTGTTGTTATTGTTATTATTATTTTCATTATCATTATTATTATTATCATCATTATTATTTTCATTATCATTATTATTATTATTATCATCATCATCTTCTGTCTTTAAAATAATAAGGATTTTCGTTTGGAATGAAATTTGATCTTTCTACTCAACCGAATTTCATGATTTTTTGCTGTAAGTGAAAGGTAGTTGGCCTAAGATGAGTGATAGCTTGTTATTATTAACATGTTTTATAGTGTTAACACAACATTTCCAATGTCTGCTAGTGAAGTCACCCTAATGAAGGCTTTTTTGATATTACTAGTTTATAAGACGGTAGGAACTAAGTGATTTTGTTTTGAAGATTATTTTACATCTATTGTGAGAGAAAAATAGAGTTAAACTTTCTCACAAACAATAGTTTTGGGAAGGTATCCTAAATGTTTTAAATATTTCCAATAATATAATAAAATTTCGTTTTACAATACCAAACTTATCGATGTAGCACTAGGGTTTTCTTACTTCATTCAGTAATTTAATCACAAGAATAAACAGAAATTATATGAAGAACCTAGAGAAGAGATAAAGAACTACGGGAGAAAATGATACAATACCCCAGTTATAGACTTCCCGTAATGGTTTTTGGTTCATTAATATTGTAGAAAGTTTGTATGCGAAAATGTAAAACAATCTGTATTATTTCAATAGTATAGAAAAGTGTTGCTGCTCTCCTTTCACACACACAACCAATTTTTATGAATGAGGTCTCTAAAGAAAGATAATTTAATGAAGTCTTTACAAATTTTCCTTTAACTAAAAAATATATAAATGATTTGATGAAAAAACGCATTTAAATTACATTAATGTTAAATGCAACCGGCAACACTTACGCAACATTGCTGAAATCTATAGACGTATAACTCCAAAACGAAACATTCTAGGTCCTTCAAATCTACAATATTCATGCCAAAGACCCCAAAGAAACGTTTCTGTCACCGTAATTAACGAGAATAACGAGATTATACTTCTTCTATTTTATTCTATTCTTCTATTTTGTAAATTTTGCTGGATCAGTCCTTCTGATACTTCATAGCATTGCAATTTCAAACATTGCGAAGAGTAGGGTTGTTCATGCCCGATCCTGTATTTTCGCATGAACAACTTTATGAAGCATTCTCAAGAGAGAAATATTTTCTAATATTTTTTGTGGCAGTCAAGAAAAGTGATGGGCAAACTATGAAGTTGTATGATAACTTCAAATGTTGTTTTAAGGCAATGTTGTAAATTATTCCAAGAACACTTGTCTTTAATCTAGAACATACCTTTATTGAAATTGATATTGAGATTCATTTTAAACACAAATTTCATTGTAATTTATTTTTATTTGATATTCGGTAAGTGCTTTGGAAGATGTTATCTTCATATCTTTTTTAACAAATAAACATGCTTCGTTGATAACTATTCCTCCCATTGTGGTAATAGAAAGAAAGGGAAGAGGGAGGGGTCTAAAATGCAAGTGTTCTCGCACGGATACGCCAGAATTGTTATATGTCGGACTTCAATGAAATGAAATGTTAATTTAATCAAAAATAATTAATTCATTTTAAATAGATATTATATTCATATTGAATCAAGATCAAATTAAATGCACCAAGACAAAAAAGGGAGGAGTCTCGAAACCACGGCAAACTGAGAGGTCTAAAACCCAAATTATTTTTTTAATAAAATGCATTGATAATCCAGAACACACTACAATATGCAGCCTCTCTTTTCTTTGTAAGGCAATAAGAAAGTAATATGTATCTTAACAAGCCGTCACCAGTGGTAATGTTCATGTTAAACAGTTTTATACGTGCTTTCCAAATTCACTAGCTATCATTCGTTTAATATTCATTTTTATAAATTTTAAACTAATAATAGCTGGTTATAATTTGGTAATTTTTTGTCACAGAAAGTTAGGTGCAAACTGGATTAAAAACTTGTTTAAATTTTTGTTTCATTACAGAATACTATTTAATTATCGTCAATCTAAAAATTCAAGTTCTGACGATTCATGCAAATGCCCGAATGAGAGAATGGGAATTTCCAGCGTATCATAATGTATTCTTAGGAGCATTGAAACCTAACAAAAATTTGTCTTTTTCGCTAGAATTCTTGCAGAATTTCCGGCAAGGAACAAGATAAGATTGTTTCGATTGATTTGTTTTGTCGTAAGAGCTTCAGTAGGTGGCACAAAACACCCGAAAAGGGTTTGTAGTTGCTTAAAAACGGGAATTATTTTAGAATCTTTTGAGTATACCTAAAAAGGAAAAAAAGAAAATGAAATAAAGATACAGGAAAGAGTAAGACCAAATGAAACTAAATCAGCCTAACGGCCTTGTTTAGCTATTTTACAACTTTGTATAATAATAATAATATGGATAACATTACTTATATTGTAAATAACCTATGTATTTGCTTTTATTCCAATGTTAGAAACTTCAAAATACAAAATTTTGTTAATATTCTATTTTAGTAATGGTGATAAATTTATTACACTTATACAACAGTCTTTTAATGCACGTATGATATACATTTTTATATTATATAACATGCATTATACACAATTTACTAGTAAGCAAATATTTTATATTAAATATTTAGGCTAGAATATATTATTGCCAAATTATATTTTTTCTATTTGGAATAACAAATATTTGACGCAATATAGAAAATAGTACACCCAGAAAACATATTTTATAAATTATATATTTATAACAATTGTATATTATGTATTACAAATTAAAAATTTACCACATTAAATAGCATATTTTCTAGATATAATGATATAAAATTTTCTACATAAATATCTTAATACATTCATAACATGTTACTGAACTGTAACAACTTTACGTTGTTTTCTTAAACAAAGAAATGTTTTCTAATATGTTTTGGGACTATCAGAGAAAGCGAAAAGCTAACTGTCAAGGAAGATTGTGTGATTACTTCAAACGTTGCGTTTAAGGAAGTGTTCCAAGAATAATTGTCTATAATATAGAACAAAAATTGATTGAAAATTTGTTTCAAATATCAATTACGTTAATGTAAACGTATTTACGTAAACGTAAACGTATTTACGTAAACGTCACAGTATTTACGTAAACGTTAACGAATTTACGTGAATGTTAACGCATTTACTTAAACGTAAACGCATTTACTTAAACGTAAAAGTATTTACGTAAACGTAAACTTACTTTCGTTTATTATTAATGTAAAATTATTAATTCCTACTGTAGAAGCGGAGCGGGGCCTGGCATGCCTCCATCGGCGGCGCCGCGTTGTCACCGTGGAGGCGACGGCGGCGGCGGCGGCGGCGGCGGCGCGCGCTGGGCGCCGCGCGCGGCCACGCCCCCGGCGCGCGGGCCAACGGCGTCCCGGGGCGTGGCAAGCGCTGCTCGCGCCCCCCGCGCGCCCGCGCCGCCGCCCCCGCCGCCGCCGCCGCCGCCACATGCCGGCGGGCGGGCGCCGTGCGCTCGGCGGCCCCTGCGTGCAGCCTCGAGAGCGGCGCGGCCGGCGCGGTGCCCCAGTGAGTCTGCGGCGCTGGTCCCTCTGCAGCGGGCTGTCGCGCGGCTGCGGCGCTTGGGCCTTCGGGGCTCGACCTCGGGACGCGCAGGTGGAGGGATCGCGCGCGCTGCGCTGCCGTTGGAGCTGCTTCGACGGAGCGGGGAGCGTGTGTTATCTGGAGATAAAGTGGCTGCAGTCGTGATTGCAGCAGTACAAGGAGGAAGTAGTGGATACACTGAGAAGGCGAATCGAAGGAGAATCTGCGCTTTGATTTTCGTTAATTGTGGCGTGTGTTTGTGTGATTTTAACTTTCTGAAGAACGAAGTAAGAAATGGTGTTAAGTAACAAATGTGGAGTGCATGACGTTTTTCCTTTACTGTATATGCGCAATGAAAGAAATAATTTCAACATGACGTTACCTTTGGAAAATTCAATTTGTTTACGAAATTATCAACTGAAAGAAAAATGAGTAGAAGACCAGCAACAGAAAATCAGAATTCACTAGAAAGTGAAAGTCATTACATTTTAAAAAGGAATGGATTAAACTTTTGAACTCAAAATCGTACCAATAAATTGTAAAACGATCTTCAAAAACTCCACAAATTAATAAAACATCATAGTTCATTCTAGTTGGCGTAAGAAAGAAGATTTGTTCTTCAGCTCCAGCTCAAAAGCTGAACAAGAATCCCACGTTGTCGGGCGGTTGAACAATAGTTGACTAATCCAATTCATTGGAGAACATCTCGACAAGCGTGCGCAAGCGTGAGCCCGAAGCCGTGTGCTTCGCCGATGTGCGCGTGTGAGGGCGCTCAAGTGCGCGTGGCGAGGGCGAGCGGCCTGGGGCTGCAGCTGCGCGACGGGCTGGCCGCGCAGGGCCTGGCCACGGCGGCGCCCACCACGCCCGCCGACCGCCCCGACGCCCACGCCCACGCCCACGGCCGCGCCACGGGCGCATCCGATGCGGCGGCGGCGGTGGAGGCGGCTGCCAACGGCTCGGCGGGGGCGGCGACGCCGGCGGCGGCGGCGCGGGCCGCATCGCCATGTGCGAGCTGAGCTCCCGCGCCCGCGCCTTCTGCGTGGACGCGCTGCTCGGCCGCCCCGACCCGCCCACGCCGCCCTCGCCGCCGCAGCAGCAGCCTCGCGACCCCACGCCACCATCGCCCACGCCGTCGCCCGCGCGCTCCCGCTCCCGCTCCCGCTCGCCCTCGCCCTCGCCGACGCCGCCGCGCGCAAGCGCCCGCGCACTGACCAAGCAGGTACAGTAGTATACATTATTATTATTATTATTATTATTATTATTATTATTATTATTATTATTATTATTATTATTAAGCAAGTAATAAGCAACATTAATAAGCAATAATACATTTTTACCCTTCGCAATTGCTATTAGAAGATTCTGCCCGATTAGGGCGAGAAGAATGTTAGCCTGTTCTCCCAACTACACACGTCCGTGTAAAAGCTCTCAGCTGCCCGCCCACACACGCGTTGAGGGCAGTTGGGCCGACGTTTTGTCCATCACATCGTGGTCTTCCTCAAGGCTGAAAACGGACTCACTCCCAGGTTATTCCAGTCCTGAAGAAGACCACGACCGACGTCGAAACGTCGGTACAACTGCATTCGAAGCGGCGTCACCCACACAGCCGAGAGCCTTCATAGGACTCAGGCCGTGGTCACTTTTCCACGCCCCTCCGTACATTTTTTTGTAACGAGGTCTTATAATAATAATAATAATAATAATAATAATAATAATAATAATAATAATAATAATAATAATAATTAATAATAATAATAAGAATAATAATAATAATAGCAATAACCGTAACATAAATCAGACCTGTGACTTCTGTTGAATTGTGTTCACTACGTTACTACGATAAAAAATTGCAACTTGCTGTAGATTTTTTTTATTAATCGACACCTAACATCTCAAAAAATGAAAATAATAACAAAAACAGAACCAATGTGATGGAATGATAATGGGAAATGCCCAGAACTTAGATGTATTTTCATCTTATAATTTCAAAAGGTTGATATCAAAGGCAATTATTTAAATGCTAATGACTCCACATATATCAACACAAAGTAATATTATTTAAATTCATGTACTGAACTAATCCAGGTTCACCACTAGATTAAAAACGGTCAAGTTATGTGTCAGCTACAACGAATGCAATAAAATACATTGACAATTAATTTAGAAAACTATTCGTCACGAAAAACGCACATGTATCAACGCACACATACATTGGCATGCGAGTAAAACAGAACTGTCGTCTGCAAATTTTGTTAAGTTGATTGATGAGATTACCCAGAGATGGTACCTTACTTCAATAAATTTGGATGCTAACTCCTAACAGTTGCGAAGGTTCAGCATGTTTTGATGTCGTTTAAGTTAAAAGTAAAAATAAAATGATAATAAAAGTATGGAATGTACTTGAAAATACTGTGAGGTTGTATTCCCCACAACGTCCAACCCCTCAGTAACGCCCCTGATACAGAATATGCAGCGAAATCCTTATTGATTTTTACTCCTCTAAAAAGCATTCTTTCTGCGAAATTGGGGAATTAAGTGTCTTTGATTACAATCACATTTCATTTTCTAAGTGGATATATACCGTACTAATCATATGTCACATTTATAAGAATGGGTCGTGTATATGTAGCTCTAAGTCAAATACCTATTTCACTATATAATATGGTACATTAATCCCTCATAAAAACAAAATAATGGAAAAATCAGGAGAATAAAAATCAGGAAAATAATGGAGAAATGTTTTTTCTCTTTTTAACTATTAGATGTTTACTTTTATTATATTGACAAATATATTTCAGTTAGATATTTGTGCTTCTTTTAAAATGAAGGTTTAAATACATATTCTTATTCAGAATTTACATACACTAAATACGCTATTTTATTCATGAAATTCACGAATTATTACGCGTAATAATTTTTAGTTAATTATTTGCCTATCAAATCGTAGTTTCAGTAATGTAACCCCTTGTCAATTATTGAAGATAACTTCCATCCAACATTGTGACTCGCGCAATTGGTTATTTTATTTTTATATCAAGCCAGTATTCAATACATTTTCATTAAAGTAAATGATGTAAATTGGCATTCAAATAATCCTATTTTCTTGTAGTAGTCTTGTTGATAAATTAACTTCAACAAACAATGTGATTCAGACATACAAGATTCTTCTTTTTAACAATAATTAGAATCCTTTTCATCGCAGTAATACATTTTTTCCATGATTCTAATTATTGAAGACTTGAAAAATTCATGCTGAAGAATTCCTGAAATTACTGTTTAGTAGTTTTGAAGCAAAAAACATTTGTATTCATGTTTTGGCACTATTTACCATGCTTCCATATCTTATTTTCACTCTAAATTTACTGAAATTTCTTTTTAAAAATTGTAAGAGTACTATTTTATTTCCCATTTTAAACAAATTCATTTTCATAGTAAATTGGTGCTATCTTTCTTATTTGATTCTCAGTTTCTTGCACGTTAAAAATTATCTGAATTTTTATACCGATCTGCACTTTATTTGAAAATAAATTAATCAAGAAGTTTGAGATCTTAAGAAACCTTTTAGGTTATCCTACGCGTCCTCTCTCGTTGTTTTTCTTGAGGAGGACATGCTAATGGCTTTATGAAGTTTGTAGCTTCCCGGGCACCGTATGCTCCTTCCGCTTTGAGTACCAAGAAGGGCGAAGGAATTTCCGCTTCAATGATTGGCCAGCTGACGCAGAGAAAAGTGACGAACGGAACCTATGACTATCTTAGTACAAAAAACAACTTTATAATGTTTATCCGGTATTATAGGGTATATCCGGTATAATGTGTTAAGGTGCTGAAATAACGTGTTAAAAATGCCTATGATTTCCAAAGCTTTACAGATAATCGCAAACACTTTTGTTTACGAAGTGAGACATTTTATATTTTTAACATTTTGACACGACGTTATTAAGGTTTATTTCGCCTATACATACTTTCTCGCTACGTTACAGGGAGAAAGTTATGTTATGCTGCGCGAAAAACGGCGAATTTGTGGTAGAAAAACGTATTACAGGTCCTTAAAGTTTCAAATTTTTTCCGAATCTTCTACAACAAAATATTTAATATAGCTTTTTATCTTAATGAAATATTTTCCTTAAAAAATATTTTGGAATAAGATCATACACACTTTTAACACCACTAGTTAAGAATCGTTATCTTACTTGATGCAAGTTGATGTCTTAATATTTATATTGCCATTATATTGTATTTCTGAGGTACATGGCAAATATCAAAAGAAAAATTAAATTTCCGCAAACAATATGGAAAATCCATTTCATTATTATTGAATGTACTAGGGAAAAGTTCAACCCTTTATTGTTAATAAGTTAATATAAGGACTATTTCCTCTCTACTTCAATTAAAGAGTGTTTATTGTCTGGTTTTTGTATATTACTGCATTACTTCAGGATTACTATATACTTTGTTATTTCTTTGTAAGGAAAGGTATTTAGTAGTATCATATGTTAATACAGTAGTCGCTAATGACCATATATTTTGATGCGACTATAAATACAAACAATGCAACATCTTGAACTACCGCGCTCTTGCATCTAAATCTTCATATATACACATGTATACCCGTAATACAAGTGTATATAATACACAAACTTTAACCGCTTCGGTGTAACCTAAAGAGCTAAGAACCTAACATTAGGTACCAATTGTAAACTCCCATACATCCTAAAGAATTGAATAAGAGCTCCTGAGAAGGCTTGAGCAGCGGGTTAATCTTAAGGAAACACAATCCCCTTCGACATGCCAGGGTACTAAGGGACTGAGAAGCTACTATTTTATATGCTATATTTTATGTTGATTTTTTTAAAATTTCTTCACAGAGAGTACAAGGTTAGTCAGCACTTTATCTTTCTTATAGAATACTAGGTAAAAATGTCAGCCTAGATAAACATTCAGTGAATATTGTTTCCATTCTTGTCTGCCTTGGCGAGCATTGTTCCCTTT